TGGCTGTGGTGGAAGCCCCTTGCGTGCTTGGCCTGTAGCGCATTCTCCCCCTCAGCCAACAAGCAATTCTGTGCCAGCGCTGTCCCAGGGATCTCCTCGGCTTCCTTTGGCAGATGCCTTGCCCACAGCGTCGGCGGTCTGAGTGGCAGCTACCGTTGGGGGGCTAACGTTATCCTCTAGCAGCATGGCCAAGAGAGCGGGCCTAAAAATTGCCCTCGCTGCCGCCGTTGCTGGGTGGCTGTCCCCTGTTCCAACGGGCTGGGAGAGTGAGGAGAGGCCCGGAGGAGGGGGTTCAGCTGCCACTTGTCCAGAAGTGAGCAAAGTAGCCGCTGTCTGAGGGAAAACAGAACTGCGTTCCCCCGATGGCTCCGTTCCAGCAGTGACGATGGCCGTGGGGGCTGCAGGGGCAGTGTGAGAATCGGTGCCACTCTTCCAAAGCGGAGTTTGGATTGTTACTCGTCACTCGTGGAAAGGCCTCCGGGTGGTGTGACTGGAAGAACATCGGCAGTGCTGCCCTTGTGACTAGCGGAGCCCCACTTGGGGGTGTTCATTTGGGGCTGAACCTACTTGGGGTTCTTTCACCGCTCCCATTGCCTCCATGGTTTCTCCCCACTTTTAAAGAAGAGCATATTCCCCTCTTGTCCCCCCCTCGGGGCATGCATGCTGAGAGGTGGGGCCAATGGAAATCTTACCAGCAATGCTCAGTGGTGTTTATCCGTGACTTCGCTGTGGGTCACCAATGGGGGTTAGAACAGATCCCAAACTGCTGTAGCGGATTAGTCGGCTCTGCTCCACTCCTGCTAACTCCTTCCATGCTGAGCATGAGCCTCTGCCTCCCCAGCATGCCTCCTTGGCCCCAGAGTCAAAGGCTTGCAGGCATCCCTGGGAGCGAAGCTGGAGCAGTAGATGATATTGCATGTGCAATGGCTGAGGTGACCTCTGGGTTCAATTTTGCAAGTCTCCCTTAGTTCAGGTGACTTACTGCTTTAGCTAAGCATGTGCATTCAACAGGTGAAAAATACCACTCCAGTGCTCCACCAGAGAAGAGTAACCAAAAAGCCTCGTTCCTCTGCATGGCAGATACCAAGTCTCTTGCGTCTCACAATGCATTCCTTTCATTAAAACGGGCTCTCTCGTTCTCTCCCCTTCCCCTTCCTAATTTCACAATTCCTGGTGGAGACAGGAGGCTACAACCTTGCCAACACAGCTCGCTGCTGGACATACTTGACTGGGGTCATCGTGGGGAGAACACTATCCTCCGAGATCCCTGATCACGAGGTAAGGCTCTGACAAACCAGCCCTTCTAGCGCGAGAGCTGAGTCATTCCACCTAATCGAAACGGCTTTTGCTGAGAGACGCTCCTGTAACAATGACACACTGTCCCAGTAGCACAGTGGACTCTTGTTTCCAGAACCCGAGACCAGCTGCGTCTCAGAAGCCAGGCAGTTTGAGAGGGGTTCACCTGGTTGCACAAAGAGCTCTTTGGGACGTGCACATATTTTCACCAGAAAAAAGCAAGCCCCCTCTCCTGTTAAATTGCTCCCTGTTTTCCCCAGATTTCTAGAAAGTTCCAGAGGCAACTTCCAGACGGTGCCAACAGCTGCTTTCCCCAGGGTCATAAGGCAGGTGCTGTTCTTTCAGTGCAAGCAAGGTGTTCCCCAGGACTAGGAGCAGCATAGAGGAATGCTGGCTAGGGACACATTTGCACCTTCCAGTACATGCTTCAGGGCTCTTCTGTCCCCCACCAAGGTCCAGTGCTAGCAGCCCTGCCGAGCCAAAGCGGAGGGCTCAGCTGTCTCGGACGTCGGGAGTGGCCCTCTCCGGAGGCGCCCAGGAGGAGGCACAGAGCAAGTGCCTGGGGTGGAAATGGATTTCAGAGTCGAGCTCGCCAGCGGGGGACAGCGATTGTAAGGTGCAAGAGGCCTGTGTAAATGGGAACCTCTGGCCATAGCTGGCGAGCATGTGAGTGACCCTCGCGTCTATGTGGCGAGTAAGAGAGGTGCCAGTTCGGAATCCGTCTGAGTGCTCCTGGCCCGGAGGGGTTAGTGCAGTGCTGACCTGGAGCAGCTGGAGGATGGTGCCATGCAGAGACCAGCATCGCTTGGGCCCCAAGCCATCTGCCTTTTGCATCTGGGGTATGGGCTTGGTATGGGGCAGCTTTGCTGGCAGAGCTGGGCTTGCTCTGCGATTGGCCAGCAGCTTCCTGGAGCCTTGCAGCGCCTGCATGCTCCAGGGATTGCTCAGTGAGCCGTCTTGAGTGCATGTTAGCAAACGGCCATGTGCTTGGGGGTGGCCCCAGAGCCAGTGGCTGGAAGGGCCTGGGATCCGGTGAGGGGAGGCATTGCACCGGCTGCCCTGCAGAAATCCCCATTCCTTTTGTCGAGCCATCAGCCATCAGTAAGGGTTAAGCAGATGCTCTGCAGCCAGTTCTGTGATCTTAGTGCCTGGCTGTCGGGCCATGAAGGAGAGTACCAACAGCATCGCTGCCTGTAGTGAAGTGTGGGCATCAGCTGGTTCAGCCAGCAAATCAGCTGTCGAGGGACAGAGGAGGTGTAGGAACTGCGTCTTTGTAAGCTGCGTTTCCAAACCCAAGCGCCTAGGAATGGTTGTCCTGGGAAGGCGCACTCATCCTTCTGGTCTGCTAGCCCAGCTACCATCTCCGGACTCCTGCCTGCTTGCATGCTGTGCCCCGAGCTCGGCTGTTCCTCCTTCGTGCTTTCTCCCGCTGTGTCTGGAACAGCCTCTCCTACCAGGCATCAAATGGCCTCCCCTCTGCTTAAAGCCCCTTGGATCACCTAGGCTGACCCATGCCTTTGCTTTGCACCATTTCTACAGGATAGTGCTCAGGGCAAGCAGTGTGATGCTGATCCTTATTTAAATGCCAGATGACTTGCTGAAAAGAGGCGGGTGGAGCTGTACAGCCCTAGGCGAAGAGCATTGAGGGAAAGGAACTGCAGTTCAGCGCTCCCTCCGTCTGTCTGTCTGCACTCATGTCTCAGCATCGTGGTGCCAGCTGAGTCCCAGTTATTTGGATGTTTAAAAGGCCTTTTAAACTCCTTTGACAAAGTCCCTCCGAAGAAGCTGCAAGAGCAAGCCGAAGCCCTGGCGTTGCTCAGGTCTTGGCTGAGATGATGGCACCACTCCGGAGAGCTGGTCCATTGTCCGCATGCACAAGTTGCATACCAGGGCCCCTGTTGAATACCTGCAGTGGTCCAGGCAAAGACGGCGAGAGCCAAGTGACACAGCTTGAGGGCAACGTAACTACTTAGGGTAATTGAGACAGAAGGCTGAGGAGCTGCGGAGGGACCCAGTGCACTTGTGAGCAGTGAATGCAGCTACCACAGTGGTGGGCCGTGGCCAGGGCCGACGGTTCCTTGCTACGTGTTGCTGTAAGCACAGCACGCAGGAGGACGGAGCAACGCCATGGCTTGTGCCACTGCTCCGCGGTGGCCAGAGGAGTCGATGTTGGGCATGTTTAAAAGGGCATCTGTGGGTGCTGCTTTCCAGGTGGGCGTGGAGAGCTCTGGTTCTCCTGCTCTCCGTGGCAGATACATGCATAACCCTGCTGTGAAACCCATGGAGCAGTTTGCAGCTTTCACCCCCAGGCTACTGCCCAGGTTCCCTTGGAAAGGATTTCCTGTCGCAGGGTCGAGCTGTGCTGCTCCCGTTTCCCTCACGGCGATCGCATGCGCTTCTAGTGCTCATGCTCTGACCAAGCGGGACAATTCCTGCAACTGGCTGTCTTGCCAAGAATGCATAACCCTGCTGTGAAACCCATGGAGCAGTTTGCAGCTTTCACCCCCAGGCTACTGCCCAGGTTCCCTTGGAAAGGATTTCCTGTCGCAGGGTCGAGCTGTGCTGCTCCCGTTTCCCTCACGGCGATCGCATGCGCTTCTAGTGCTCATGCTCTGACCAAGCGGGACAATTCCTGCAACTGGCTGTCTTGCCAAGAACGCTGAAAGATTGTGTGTTTTCTTTAACCCCCGCCGCTCACGCCAC